TGCACAACATGTTGTTATTACTGCGCTGCGCTGCGTTGGTCCCCTTGTCCCTCTTTTTTTTTTTTACAAGCCGATGCGGCCCTATTTGTTCTTGCTTCTAAAACAAAAGCTAATTAGTGCTCCAAAGGTGGAATTACTTTGTCTGTGTCATGGTCTGTCAGAGGATCCCACGCAGTCCCTGCGCAGCTTCCTGCATGCAAAACGAGTGAATTGGAGTGAGTGAGAGCACACAGTGAGGCAGCCGAACCTGCCAGGTATCCCGCCATGTCCCATAGATTCCCAAAAGGGAATTTAAGTTAATCTATTTGACAGAAACTAACACTGGGCCACAATCCCCACCATCCCTTTCTCCCGGGTGTGGCATTGCAAGCGTGTCTGCAGCACCCAGAATTTAGCAGTTTTTTTACAGGAAATTTTAGATCTCAGATCAAACATGACGGCTGTCAATGAAATTTGCCGCTCAAAAGTGATTTCAAGCACATTGCCTTCTAGTTAGTCTGAACCCATTCCCTTGGCAGGATGTTTGTAACATCCAGGGAGTCTCTCATGTTACTTAGTGCAATAATGTGGCTCCACGAATAAATCCATTTCCAGTCTGTTGGTATCGCATGTAACAAATGAGAACTGCTAAATGCACTTGTCACTGGCGCTAGGAGCAGGAGAAACGATACCTGCAGAATTACACATGTTCCTATAATGATTATAAATTATAATGAATCATATTTTCTTATGTTTGCAAATGAAGGTCTGATAACCAATGCCAGAGCGGGTGATATGGCCTGGCTGATCTCGGCATTTTTGTAATTTCTAAACAGAAACAAGAATTGGAAAATTACCTTGTGGTAGAGTGCAAATATGTACAACGTAAGTGTAAAGACTGCGGTGTAGCACACGTGCACCTATCTTATACATATGTAGATTGCAAGACTCGCAGTAAAACCATTACAGTGTGTGATGGCATCAGCACTAATTAGCTCTAGATCCAGCCGGTTCCTCTCTGCCAAAGTAAACTGGAGTTATCTCAATCTCAGATTTCATATTTCCTCCTTTCTCTTTCAGGGGAGGAATGTTTCTGTCACAAGGTATTATATCCTGAACTGAAAGCATCTTTAAAAGGCTCGCAAAACAGTCCAAATTAACATTCTGAAATAATTGCTGCTATTAGCTCATTATCTACACATTGTCCAGCAGACTGAGTGGTAGTGGCAGGCCCAAATATTTAAAGCATTTTGCCCATAAATGGGAAACAGTTGGAGTGCAAATACTGCAGAATTCAAGTCCTTTAATGTGTAATGAGAGCAGAAAGTAGAAAACTAAGTTAGCAAAGAAATTTTAACTATGAGGCATATTGTTTTGAGGCACAATATACAAAGGAAAGCTGGCCAAGTAAAATCCGACCTGTAGGAAGTTTTCCTGGCTGTGCAAGGACGTGCAAGGGAGGCAGCGCTGCTGCAGGGTGTGCGTGATGCTGCCCGACGCGGTGCCGCTCCGTGGCCGTGGGACGAGTGCCACAGCCCTGCGAGGGACGGGCAGAGTGGGACTGCACAGCCCTGTGGGCTCCCTGGTTTCGGGGGGAAGAGCTGGAGGCCCAGGGGGGCGCATGGAGCAGCGCTGCTGTGGTAGGACACCCTCACCCCATGCTCGGTGGTGGTACCGCATGGCCTTCAGCTCCAGGAGCATCTGGCACCAACGCGGCCCGTCCTAGCCCGGCAAGAAGCTGCTCCAGTGACACTGCTGGCATCGGGTGCTGCAACACCTCTGCATCCTCACGCAGAGCCAAGGGAAAGGGCTGGCGGCAACGAGGTGCCTGGGGCAGGGCGCTGAGCACGGGGGAGCGGGCGCAGGAGCGGCGAGTTTCCCTTAGCTTCCTTTTAACTCTGCCTTTCATCACGAAGAAAGGGGTTTTGCATTGCTGCTCCTTCCTCGCAGCCATCCCCACCAGACTTTCCGGCAGCGCCGCCGCTGCATTTGCCTGGGAAGCTCGAGGAGGGCCCTGCTGCCGTCCCCGTGGCACCGCTCCGGGCCGGGCCCGGGGCCCCCC